CTCGTTCATCAGGGCAGGGAGCACTGTGAAGGGAGCACAAGTCTCAGCCACGATACCGATGGCGACGGCTGTACAGACACGAGATTGACGCTCTTGGACTCGCAAGTTGTTCAGCAAGGTAGCCAGGACATCCTGGGGACCGATAGCCTTGGCAATGAAACCGAATGTGTTGTTGGCAGCACGACGAATGCCCTTCTTGTGAGCCTTGAGCATATCCAGCAGCTCGAAACAGATACGCATCCATTCACGAGCATTGACGGACTCAGGACCACGGTCGGCAATACGACCGACCAGGTCGATGGTGTTTTCTTGTACCTTCTCGTGTCGGTTGCGGAGAATGGGAGTAAGTCGAGGGAGAAGATCGCGAATTGGTGGTTGCATCTGGTTGATACCGACCACTGTGACAATGGAACGCAGGGCACCCAGGATAGAGCCAAGGACCTCGGGGTACTCCTCACCCAAATATTCGTAAAGCACAATACCAAGCTTGCCCATAAGAGCATCCTCACCGCACTGCTTCATAACCATAGCAATGCGTGAGATGAGGTCTGCGGCCTGTTGTCGGACAGTGGCAGACTTGTTGTTCAACCGCCACAGAATGGTAGAGACAATCTGGGGAGGGTAGGGCTTGCATCGTGTGCTGAGGGCGTTCACCACGGTGCCAAACCCGTTGAGAATGACAAGGTCCTCGATGCTTTGCTCCTGGAAGGCATAGAGCACACCATCGATGAGTCGCTCTTCCAGTCGCTCTGAGATATCCGCAGCTCCCAGTGACGCAATTAGCTTTTCCACCGTCTCCACGGTCATCTTTCGGTATGGCTCGCTTTCATCTTTCAGGTTGTTGACAACACGCTCGAGAATCTCACCAACCCCAACCTTCTGTCCAAGGTCAACAGTGGTATCCACCACCTGGCGGTAGTTTCGTCGATCAAGGGCCATGCGACGGACCCAAAAGCTCTTGAAAAAGTCGGTTAAGACGTGCTCCTTGAGGTAGCTGGCAGTCACACCGTCCGTGCTGGAACATTGTGACACCACCTTCAAAACAACCTTCTTCATTTCTTCATCAGGAGACGAAAACTCACGAAGGAGAATCTCCATGATTTGACTGGTGTAGTAGTTGGCATACTCCTCGTCCATGAGAGGAATGATATAACCGACAGCCTTCAAAAAGGCAGCGAGACCCTTGCCACGCTGTTTACGGGCACCAGTCCATAGGGGGTTGAGGATCTCATCGAAGCTTTCGATACCGTAAGGGTTAGCGGCCTCGGCCAAAGCAGCCACAGCTAGAGCAGTGACGGTTCGGACCTTTGCTTGCTCGTCGCTGAGGTTATCGGAAATACAGTCGACAAGACCCTTGAGGTGAGGAAGAATGGCGCAGCCCATCAAGATGGGGATTTGTTGGACAATCTTGACACCAGTGTGCCTAGCCTGCCAGGACTTTTTACTGCGGCAGACGGCACGGAGGAAAGGGAGGAGAGCTGGGATACCCAGGGCGGAGGCGACGACTGCGAATGCTCGCGCGGTGGTGTTTCGAACATACTCGTCGACGTGATCAATATCAGGTCGCATAGTACTGATCATAGTGGCAAGACCGGCGGCCTTGGCCAAGTTGGAGATAATTTCTCGACCCTCAACACGAGCATAGTAATCTTGGTCGATGAGGAGGGGTTCAATAACGACCAAAATCTTATGGACGTAGGGACGGACCAAGTCGTCCAGCTTGTAAAGCACTCGGTCAATAACCTTGACCAGCAAGTGGCGTTCTTGATCCTCCAATGATTTCTCCATAAGCAGAGGAAGAATTTGGTTGAATAGAGCGCCGGCTCCAAAGTTTCGCGCATTGTCTGTGATTTGTCGCAATGCCGTCTTTCGCATGGGTGGTGTGCCGTTCTTGACTTTCAGTAACAACCGCATGATCTTTCGCTCTTTCATCTCTTCAACTGACATGGAGCTCTCGTCTCCAGCCTCCATAAGCTTACCAAAGTAAGCCATATCCTCCGGCTTGAAGAATTGAAGATCGCCAACTCCGGGAATGTCGGTTGGAAGTTCCTTACCCATCGAGCGAACGCTCTCGGGCTCCTGCATCATAAAACCTCCAAGACCGGCCGCGCCGGCAACAGGCGCTGGAGTCGCCATCATCTTGCGCGCTTGTGTCCGGATTGGCGCATAACCTGGTGGCGGGTCCAAGATTTTATAGCCTTCTGAGGGGAGCATTATATCAAGCTCCTCGTCGGTCCAATCAGCACCTCGGCCGGACAAATCAGTTCCAAAGCCGGCTGGAGTAGCGGCACCACCACCTTGAGACGGATGCATTGGGGTAGCAAGTCCCTGGTTCCCGACCGGAGTAGCAGAAGTGAGGGACGGTGCTTGATCCCAGCGTGAACGTCGCTTGGAACCTTCGTCTGGCGCACCCGGGGCGGGTGTTTGATCCCATCGCGACCGCTTGGTTTTCGCTTCGGCAGGCTCTTCGGGGGCCTTGGTAGCATCTGTGGACTCCGATGAAACGTCCCAGCGCTTCTTTCGCTTGCGTCCGGCGGCGGCTGAGCCATCATCCTCGTTCTCCTTGTTGTCTTCCACGGCCTTGAGAGTGGGCTGGTGCTCGGGAACTTCTTCACCACGCTCTCGCTTCTCTTGAATCAGCTTTTGAACACGTTCCTCCTCTTTTTGAAGCTCACGCTCAGCCATAATCTCTCGGTACGTCTGCCCTTGTCCCTCCACGTTTGAGTCTCCGGAAAAGGCATCGGCGCGAGTCGGTGTCAGAGCACCGCGATTGAATCGGCGCTTCTGGTAATCGGTTTCGCGATCCGCGATTCTCGCCGCTTTCTCACGGCCTGTCAAGATATCTTCCTCCTCGACTCCGTTGCCACGGGCCATCTCATCGATTTGGTTTCTGGTAGCGGTGTATTGGCCAACCAAGTTGTGGCCGCCGTTCGCATCCTCCATTTCTTCATCGCCACCGTCCACTGCAATCGAAGTATCGTAGCCTGAGAATCGATCTGCCCCTTCCCGTTCGTAAAGAGTTGTGTCGAAGGATTCGGTAAGGGAGGCCTTAGTCGAGTTGTCAGTGCGCTGAGCAGAGGGATCAAAAGTCTTCGAGCCATTCTTGCCAGCAGCGGCGGCATTACGCTCCGCCTGGAGCCGCCGGACAGCTTCAATATCGGCTATCAGAGTCATCAGCAATGGGTCAGTGAGGGGAGTCACAGGATGCGCACCGTCGGACATGGTGATGTCGAGTCAAGGATCAGATATGATGGATGAGTTTATGATCGCGCAAAATGCGTAACAGCAGCTACATCCGGATCGGGCACCGTTAGAACGGCAGCATTGATGATAATGGAGCTGTGTCGTTTGATGGCCTGCCGCGACGTGCATTTTCACCCGTGACGGTCGCGCTAGTGGAACTCACGTGATGCGATGATCAGCTATCAATTTCTGCCTCAGGCCACATGGCAACCAAACATATTGTCCATCTATGTCATGCATGAAGACTTCAATTGTGTCAATCTTTCTACATAGGTATTGGTCTGGGGGTGAAAATGGAGAGCCACAAATTTTTACAGAAATTTTCTGTTTAGGAACCGGGAAATTGACCTCGGAGGATGCCTCACACCAAACTCACCGTGGCGCTGGGTGGGCGCTTAGGGTCTATTTATGTCACACACTTGCCGTTTCAGTAGAACAACCCTCAATACAACTATTTTAAACACTATCTAGATAGAGAGTCAATTTATGTATTTATATATTAAGTTTTGCTGTGGTGTTGATATTTGCGCCTTGGGGCAATGTGCCTTGGTCCTCGGGTTGTTGGTATCTCAAGACGAAGTAATCTTGTTCGATACAGAATTTATTAGTGCTACGGGGTCATGCTGTTTGTAAATAGAATTTCGATGAAACTACTTGCTCAACGAAGTCTCAGATCTGTCGGCCCCATGATAGTCAAGATGAAATATGATTTGAGCACAGAGGTCACACCAACGCTTCCCAGGCGGCTGGTAGGACACTGCCTTTGGAATGTAACATTCTCTAGGCTATATTAGATAGTAACATCTATGTATACCTTTTATTGGTCACTGAAATGGAGCTAAAATTACTTTCTGGACCTTCATAGATCGGATTCTTAGTCATCAAGCTTTTAGTTCACCTTTGCGAGAGTGGCTAACAAAGAGACCAGTTTTAGTATAGGCGACCCGATGTTGGCCCCAGTTTGTAAGCCTTGAAGACTTTTGTTGTTGGGCTGATTAGACATAGCCGCCTTTTCTGGCGTGGTAGATCTCAAAAGAAACAGGACCACCTTGCACAGCATCTAAAGTTGGAGCATGTTGGACTGGAGTAAGCCTTGTCAACTTCCTGCCTAGTATCCGAGCCAAAGAAACGGTACATGCTCTTCAACTTTCTTTGTGCTGGGGTTCCTCCTCCTAGGCGCTTCCGCTTATTTAAATAAACCCTGTCTCCTCTTGTTTCTGATTTCCCAAATTCCATCTCTAGCCCTCTATCATCTTTGTCATCTTTCCATTCTTGACTGAGGCTCGATTCCCGAAGAAACACGGATATTATTCTCCATATAATCATTACCATAATGTTGCGAATCACCTTGACGCCGCTTATACTCCTGACTACATGTCTATTAGGAGTATCTGCCCTTCCCGGCCCCTTGCGACTGGCCTCTACCTTCTCCCGCATCACCACCGAGCTTGATAATATCAGCTTGGGAAATTGCTCTCTCAATAATGTGACACTCCCAATCAGTTATACCAAGACCAAGCTCCCAGAGCCGTCACCTCATTTGCATCTCAAGTACATTGCCCTGGGGCGTGGTACTCAAAATTATTCATGTTCATCCACCGAGAGCTCACATTCCTCAAAAAAGTCTGCCACACCGGTAGCGGTCGGAGCGGTGGCTCTTCTTTTTTGATGCTTCTTGTATAGCATCACAGTCAGTGACGTTGCTCCACGAGCTCCCTGCAGTTATTTCTCAAACTCCGCTGGGGTCCTTTGCCCTCATGGCCGAGGCCTTGACCCTAACTACAAACTCGAGCAACCTGATCATCGGTGAACATTATTTCAATGCCGCAGGAGATCCCTTCTTTGATTTGAGCATGAGTGGGTCAGATGCTTGGATGGCGTGCAAGAAGGATGCGTCTGTGAGCGCACCAACAAGAGTTTCTCGTATATCTGGAAAAGACGAGAGCGATGTTCCATGGTTAAAGCTTGATTGCAAGGATTGCAAGGGCGTCAAGGTAAGCAAAGTAGTCGAGTAGGTTTACAAATCCGTACCATGCTAACACAATATCTAGGAAGTCTATCGAGTAATGACCATCGGCGGAGTTGCTCCAACAACATGCGTGGTGCAGAATGATACCGTACTCGTTGAATATGCCGCAGAATATTGGTTCTACGGATGAAATGTAAATTAAAGTTCATGAATTTGAAAATTATCACCGCCCATAGCAGATTACCTGCAAAACCCACCTAGGCACTTCATCGAAAGCTATTCGAATTGCACGCTGCCAAAGGTTCTATCTTTTATCCTCCACTTGTTCGAATGCGTACTTGGGAGCTAGGGCACGGCCCAGTATTCATTTGCGGCGTCCGCTTTGAAGAAGACCTTCCAGCGGGACTTGGTGATCATATTAGAAATCTTCCAATTGCGTGCCAGATTGTGTATCTAAGACTGAGTCTGTTGGTTCCCTTGCCTGTGCATCTGCTGCATATTGGCTATACACCCCTGAATTGTTTATCTCGAGGCAAGCGAGAAAACATGAGGATTTTTAGGCCAAACGTTTCTCTGACGCTCCTGCGGGTAGAAGAAGATGAGTTCAGAGGGTTGCGATCATGAGTGTTAATCTCGTCGCGTAGCGGCCCCTTCAAAGGACCCTTAACGGGAGGGTATTGGAAAATCATGCTGCTTTGTCAATGATCAATGGTTGGTTTCGACTCTGAAGGTTGCGGACGAAGATCAAAATCGCGATCCAGCTCCCCTTGGTCTGAAAATTGGTGCATCCGGGGTGGCCACTAACTTAGACTGAGCTTGTGCACGAAGTCTATCCTGGAAGATGAGACGCCCAGGCCATAAGAAGTGATTCATTTGAATGTAAATATTATATTATTTGAGTCTGTGAGTGTTGTCAGCTAATGAATTTTCCCTGAATTAGGGGCAGCAGAGAGGTATACCGTAAGATCACCCTAGCTTTAGAGTTGAGACCCAGCACTTGAGGTTGGACTGGCTAAGGTCCAAAGATTGGAGTTTGTGTTGCAGTTGAGAGATAACTTGAAAAGCTATCTTGACCAGTATTTGCCGCAGATGGCAAGGTCAAAGCGAGGAACTAGCCGTTTGTGAGATCGGAGAGGCATAAGTGCTAGAAGTGAGTGACAATAATGGTGGTGTTGGTGGAGGAGGAGGGCGAAGTGAAGGAACCAGGGTGTCGCGATGTGCAAGCGAATGGCGAAACAGCCTAGAAGGGTAACAGTGTGAGGTGCGAGAGGTGTAAATGAAAATAAAAAGAAGAACAAGAAGAAGAAGCAAGGAGGAGGGAAGAGTCTGGATGGGAGGAGAGGTGCAGTAGGTAGACTGAGCGGGAGTGGAAAGAGCTATCTGATCGGAGAGCGGGTATAGAGTAAATACTAGAATTCCCTGTAAATGTTAACCACATATCTATTACAGTAGTTCCCGAAACTGGTGTCACCATCTATACTCTTTGATTATTTCTCGAACTCTACCTGCCAAGACATACTAGTCTATATTGGGAGTGTCTCCAGAGCACCCCTGTCAGTGGACTTGTATGGGTTCTTACGCGTAGTAACCAGAACATATGGCGTGGTGTATTCACTCGTAACACTAATACATACATCTGACACCTTGATACCCCACTTGAAAATCATTGTCCCTTGGTACGGGGAGATTATAGCAGTCAATCCCAAGTAGTCAAATCAGAATAGCACCCAATCTAGCCCCTACAAAGCACGAGCATTTCTACGATATGATTCACAGTGGAGAACTATCTGTATTCTAGTGCTCGGTATGATATAACGTAAGCAGGCTAACAAATTTACTTATATAGTTTAGTGTCCTGAGGTCAGACGTTGATGTTCGCTAGAGCGAAAAAATATTCGTACTGTATCATAGGCCTTCGCCAAAAGAAATGCCCAACCTGGAGAACCTACCAGCGGAAATTCTGCTAGCGATCGCAAATGAATTAAAGGATACTCGAGACATCAACTCACTGGTTCGGGCAAGTCGTTATTTGTGCAACAATCTGACTGTATCCCTGTATCGAACTGATGCCTGGCTCCATGATATGAGCGCACTCAGGTGGGCGTCAAACAATGTTTCCATTCAAACAGCCTCACTATCAATCAATAATAGCTCTCTCTGCAAAACCAGAAGGAAGAATTTTGGAAAGGCTCTCGCAAAGGCGGCCAGGAATGGACATGCTACGTTGGTGTCTTTGATTTTGACACAAAGAGAGGTCAATCTGAACATTATCGACAATGATTCAAGCGATGAAGATATTTCAAGCGACAAAAATGAAAGAATGACCCCTCTTCAATTAGCAGCAAGTGCAGGACATGTGGACGTCGTCAAAGCTCTGCTGGAAGATGATCGAATGAATCTGGAATTCCTCGTCCTGGAGGCTCGAGAAGCTAGCTCTGAGTGCAGACTGATCGCGACATCCTGCCTCTTCCTAGCTGCGAGAAATGGCCATGCTACAGTGGTCGATATACTGCTAGATGTTCCTGGGATACGACCGAACGCGCACGACCGATTTGATCGCACCCCTTTGATCAACGCGGTTGTTTCAGAGTCACTCGAAACTGTCAGGAGCTTTTTCAATCGCCCTAGCCTCGAGATTGACTTCAATATCCAGGGCAGTCCTGGTCCCCTTCGCTCTGTATGGCGAAAGCAAAGAAACCCTCTATTACTCGCCTCTGCGCTCAAATCCCCGCATATTGCAAACCTGCTCCTCGGTGTACCTGGAATTGAAGTAGACCACTACAATGAACGGAATGAAACTGCTTTGTACTTTGCAGCTTCCCAGGGAACGAGTGAAATCGTCAGGTCTTTACTCGAGCACGGAGCGCATCCGGATCCAAGGGATTTAGAAGATGAGACTCCGCTTTGGCACGCGGCCAAAAGGGGAGATCTTGCGATGGTGAAGATGCTGCTGGAGGCAGGCGCAGATCCAAACCATACGTGTCAGAGGGGATGCCACCCGTTGGGTGCAGCCGAAACATTCGGTCATACCGAAGTAAAGCAGGCCTTGCTTGAAAGTGCTCGGATTGATTTGGGTTCTCTGAAGCCGGTTCCGGAAAGATGGCACAAAGGTCGGAGGATGTATCGGGCCCTCGCACCCAACCGCCCAGATTCTCCATTTCACACCTGAGCTTTGGTAATTATGTGCCAAGTCTCTACTGTGCGCCCAGTTTTCTGCCTCCACTGCATCCTGTTTGATAGATACTCAGCCAATTTCGGTTTTGTCCACAACTCTAGTAAAATTAGGACGGCATAGGTTCAATCAAGGAAACTCATGAATGTCTTGGAATTATCAAATTTCCATGCCGGCAGATCTCGGCACTGCCTATTGTATTGTACAAAAGCTTCTCACTGAGCAAGTAAGAGAAAACGAGATTTGAAATTTGTGCGATCTCGTTGTATTTTTCAGGTTGACTCGGGCACGTAGGTTTTTGCCCAATTATTTCCGGTGACAGGGGAGGGGCTCTGTGTAGGTGATAGTTACCCCTTTTGCTAAAGCTCCCTGTTCGACGAGTTCATGCGATCCCAAGGATACTCGAGTTGTCGGATTTGGGCTGGGGCAGTTGATGGTGGAGCTTGTACAGCATCCTCTTGGCCGCTGTCATTTCCAGTAGCAAGGCGCAGATCCACGTGACCGTATAGTCGTCATGTGAAATCTCATTGTTGCTGTCATCGGCGATCAGAGTTACAAAGTCAAAAGCTATTGAATAAGCATGCTTAAACTAGCTCGATGCATAGGAGTCTTTCGAAGTGCCGAGATTGAAGTGGAGGGGTAGACACATAATTCACAGAGACTCACTATCGGCCTCCACGGAATTCAACTGAATTCTCACAATAAGTCATGTCATGTAGCTACTGTATGATCTGTAAGCAAGGTACTGTAATTCACTGTTCGTGCTATCTGGTTCTGAATCTAGGCAAAGTCTTTTTGAGCTAAGAGATAAGCCCATAAAGCGGCGTTATCACGCCAACGATAAAATTTAATGTAGGCGATCTAGCATACTAGTAGTGCCGAAACTACTCCGAAGATTCACCTGTTGCAATAGTAGTTAGTACCTATTTGGCATGGGAAATTCGCCCGGAGAAGAAAACATTGTATAAAATTGGCGATCTTAGCTTATTTGAGAAATTGATTCAACTCTCTGACCCAATCAAAATCTATATAATGTTGCTTTTAAGCATAAGAACTTTAATCTCAGCCCTGAACCCCCCCCCCCCCGTAAATCCATAGGATCACATAATACCTGGTCAGGCAGGCGTGATCAAGTTAGATTGAGTTTGGAGAATAATCCACCTTGTCTCAATCTATTACACATAGAACCTGGGTACTGGGAACAGTTTCAGGCCATCTATTGCACCAAAAGTTCACCCTTGGTATTGGGACGATTGAAACTCGGATTCTGTGTTAAGTTTAAAAAGAACCAGAAATGCCATATTCTTGGAGCCATAAGAATAAAGTCATCGAATATTCGATGGGTTAATACTTGGAAATATGCCAATATCGGGGCTAGAGACTTCAAAGGGTTAGTGAGTAGAGTAGTGGACTAAACTCGGCGTAAGCTACCGGAGATGGCCTGTTGCGATTTTTGGTGCATATATCGTGACCATCGCATACGGGGCTGCAAGGAGCCATAAGAAGTATAAGTAGGTGTCCTTGTTATGGGAGGAATAATATCCGGGAACTTTTTTGTACTGAATCTCTGCATCGAGTCGATAGCTCATCTGAAATCAGTTCAAAGAAGATGGAACCGCGGAACGACTCCAATAAAATTCCAGATCAGTCGGAAAGGCCGACCGCAGATCTCGAAGCAGAAACCTCTAAACAAGATCCAGGCGACAAGCTATATCGATCAGAGCTAACAGAGATTACACCCGTCGAAGCGTTGAAGTGGAATGTTGAAGGAGACGAGTCACCCTGTATGTTGATGCGACACATGGTGGATCCAAAAATGGGGTTCAAGCTCACATCCTTCACATAGTTCCCGAGGTCGCTGCTTGTGTGTCGAATAAAGATGATCCTACCATAGCATGCAATAGTGAGTTGCTAGGAAGAACTTTTGCGATATAACCTAGCCTGATAATTATCACAGCCGTCCGAGCCTGGATACTGATGACAATATTTGTCATCCTATTTTCAGGAGTCAATCAATTTTTTGGCTTACGATATGTCGGTATTTCTGATCGTCAAAAATAGACATCTGTTGACTGGATTTAGCCTTCCCTCACGATCGGTTATGTTGTCGCTCAAATTCTGGTCTTCCCTATTGGTAGGGCCTGGGAAAAGCTTCCTAGATGGAGAGTACCCTTGGGAAGACTTTCATTTGATATCAACCCTGGGAAGTTCACCATCAAAGAGCACGCTTTCATAGTGATCGTAAGTTAGGTCGCAGGAGGGACCAGAAGAGAAAAATATCTAACGGGAAAATTAGTGCGTTAACATAAGCGCCTCCACTGCTTATGCGCAAGGTGCATTGGTCGCAATAATCAGCCCTGTATACTGGAATCGTGATCTTGGGGCCGGCTTCTCATTTTTGTATCTCTTAACAACACAGATGATAGGGTAAGATTTTTCGAGAAAAAGACCTCGATAAACTACTAAACATCTCTAGATTTGGTTTGACAGGCCTCTCCCGTCGATGGATTGTGTATCCTGCTGCGCTGATATGGCCTACTTCTCTCTCTTCGACGGTACTTTTCCGGGCACTCCATGAACCCGAAAGCCGCAAGCCAGCAAATGGCTGGACTATCACTCGCTACCGCTTTTTCTCATACGTGACGGCAATGGCATTCGTGGCATTCTGGTTTCCAGATTACATTTGGACAAGCCTCAGTACGTTTGCTTTTATGACGTGGATTTTCCCTAACAACCAAAAGGTCAATACGATTTTCGGGGTAAGTAAAATTTATCTCTTATAATACCGAGAGATGTAACTAACTTTCCAGATGAACTCCGGCTTGGGTCTGATACCAATTAGCTTTGATTGGACGCAGATCAATTACGCAGGATTCCCGCTCACGACCCCATTTTACATTACGTGTAATGCATTTGCAGTCGTCGTGTTGTTCTATTTATTTTTGTCGCCTATTCTGTATTATTCGAATGTTTGGTACAGCGCATAGTAAGTCTCACTTCTACTAGGTTCTGTGGTGATAGCTCTTATGCTAATGGACCAGTCTTCCACTGTTATCCTCCAGCACTTTCGACAACACGGGCGGTTCATACAATATATCCCGTGTGGTTGGGGAAAATTTGGAATTCCTCGAGAGCAACTACAAGGATTATTCTCCTATGTATATCTCGATGTCTTATTCTCTCACGTACGGATTATCCTTTGCCGCAGTGACGGCGATCGTGGTGCACACCTACCTATACAATGGCTCCGAGATTTGGGCTAGACTCAAAAATGTCCGACACGGAGGTGAAGATGTCCACCGGCGACTGATGAATGCTTATGATGAGGTTCCTGAATGGTGGTATGGTCTTCTCACTCTGGTGGTGTTTGGACTGGGTATTTTGACTATAAGGAACTGGGAGACTGAGCTGCCAGTCTGGGGGTTCATCGTGGTTTGCTTTGGCTTAGCTGCCCTGCTGATAGTACCCGAAGGGCTTCTTCAAGGCACGACCAACCAAAGAGTCTTTCTTAACATAATAACGGAGATGATCGCAGGGTATGCCTGGCCCGGAAAGCCAATAGCTAATCTGATGGTCAAGTGCTATGGTTATAATGCCGTCAAACATGGCATGGACTTTGCGCAGGACTTGAAGCTAGGTCAATATATGGTATGTGCTGGGAAACCTTGAGTTGAATAATACCGCTGACAGTTCCAGAAAATTCCTCCTCGCGTTCTATTTTTCGGCCAGATCTATGCTAGTATCCTAGCAACGGCAACCCAGACAGGAGGTAAATTTCTCGTTGTGCAGATGCAAAACTTATTCCGCTAACAAATGAAGTTCTACGATGGATGCTTGGAAATATCAAAGACCTCTGTGAATCGACAAACAAAGAACGCTTCACATGCAATGGTGCCAAGGTGATGTACCAGGCTTCAGTAATCTGGGGCACGATTGGACCGCAGCGAATGTTCCAATCTGGCCAAGTATACAACAAACTTGTGTACTTTTTTATCATCGGGGTAAGCTTTCAAATCTATTGAGGTAGTATATCTCGTCTTTTTAACAACTCTATTAAGCCTGTTGTCACTGGAATGGTCTATCTCCTCTACCGTCGCTATCCCAATAGCTGGATTCGTTACATCAATGTCCCAATTTTCTTCAATGCGGCGGGTAACATTCCACCGGCAAATACTAGTAAGTCCGAAGATTGTATTGCATGTTGTCCAATAATGGCTAATTTAATAGCCCAATATTCTCTGTGGTTCATCGTTGGTTTTGTTTTCAACTATCTCATCCGCAAGCGCGCGTTCGACTGGTGGAGACGTTACAACTGTAAGTCTATGAATCAATCCGCCCTAATGGCAAAGCTCTAACTGTTCTCGTTTTTAGACCTATTGCAAGCAGCTATGGATACTGGAACGGCCATTGCGACAATCATAATCTTTTTCGCTCTGGGATACCATGCTGTCAAATTCGATTGGTGGGGAAATACAGTTGGGTCCAACACGTACGATGCTAACTCCGTTCCATGGCTGAAAGTTACCAAGGGGGGATTCTTTGGCAAAGGGCCTGGTGAATTTTGATCTTTGATCATATAGCAGCATCTGGTTATTCGATTTTGACCCAGAACTCTAGATGCAAATATTAAATAGTAGCCAAAATATGCAGAAGTTTGTTTCGACCTGAAAAAGTTTCTTTTTTTTTCGAAAACTTGCAGCAATATCCACTAAGAAACCAGAAGAACAAGCAAATTTTAACCTACCAATAGCTCCATGGCATTCGTGGCGCAGTCGGATATTCACGGTGTGGCGCAGTCCGTGCACATGCTCCACCGGTGGACTTCAGAATGTTCAGCGGACAGCTGTCAATTATGACTCAAAGGACAAGGATGATGCAGAGTTTTTCGAGGGCTCAAGCTCCAACTTTCGACCTTGATCCGAGCATTGTCTGACAGGCGCTTGGATGGCGGCTCGGAGGATTTGATAGCTGTCAGTAACGCTTAGCACTGGCCATCATCTTACCCAGGGTTGCTGATCCTAACCAGCAGTGACAAGTTGCAAAGTATACTCGCCCAGTCGGAGTCACCGAATGTTACATGGGACTACAAATTATAGGCAAAGTTTGTAACCGTGTATTGCGTGTCGGACTTGGCCAGCAGAGGTTCTTTGCCACTTGCAACATGGCCATCTCTCTGTTGGATGAGGGGTCCACGTATGGTGTGCTGAGGAATAATGTCTCTTGACCGGAGTGCACAATGCACAATGCACAGTTGAGACTGCCGAGTTGTTGTATGTTGATGTTGTATGTTGTAGTGTTATTGTATACTTCGTACCATGGTTCAAACATAGAACTGTGGCTGGCGATCACGTGGCAAGGCAGCCGCGACCGCAAAGGCGGTTCGTCGCGTCGTCATTGGCAATTGCTACATCATTCACTCCTTCAATTGCATCCATTTCATATCCATCCATCACAGAGGGCATGCAGAGTAATAGTGACATTTAACCTACTATTCTCCTCTATCTCAACCTGCCATTCCCCGCTATAACCCGGCTTCACCCCCCGACACCTACCCTCTCCATACCGCACGTCGCAATCCGAAGCCACCTCTCAATATGGCTACCGACTACGGCAAGAAGACCAACGCTGACTTGGTCGAGATTCTCAAGTCGCGCTCGCTTGCGCACACTGGAAAGAAGGCGGATCTGGTCGCGCGCCTCCAAGAGGATGATGCAAAGAACGCCGCTGCTCCCGCGGAGACAAAGGCCGACACCGCCGCCGAAGATGTGATCGACTGGGACGACGATGTTCCCGCCGAAGCTGCCAACGCATCGACCGAAGCTGGTGCGACTGCCATTGCTGCTGGCGGCAAGGGTGCTGTTGCCAACCCCGTCGCCGTCCCGAACCAAAAACTTGATGTTGATCCCGCCGCGACAGACGACTTGAAGGTGGAATCGACAGGTGTTACCGATGCTGCCCAGCCTGAGGCTGCTGTCGAAGAGGCGGAGAAGAAGCCTGCGGTGGATTATACTCGAGGTCTTCCGGCCACGGAGTTGGAGGAGGAACTGAAGAAGCGCAAGGCGCGCGCTGAGAAGTTCGGCATCGTCGAGGACCACGATACAGCTGTCAAGGAGGCCGAAAAGCAGCTGTCCCGGGCGAAGCGCTTCGGTACTGGAGCCGAGGCGGAGGGTGGTTCCACTATGGGTGTCCACGGCCTTGACCAGGCTCTTCCCAACGAAAAGTCCCGCAAGAGGGGTCCCAGGGACCAAGGGGGCCGTGGAGGCAAGCGACGGGATATGGGTCGAAACCGCAACCGCAACGGTCGTGGGGATGGACGTGGAGATGGAGTACAAAAGCGGGCTGGAGGTGGCAATGCTGCCTCGGGCCGGCCTAAATCGAACTTCAGTGAGAAGGATAATGCAGCAATGGAGGCTCGCAAGAAGCGATTTGCACAGGCGGCTTGAGTTTGGTGGAGTGTGAACCTCAAGGAAGTTGCTTTACATATCGGATTTACTTATTTACGGGCGTTTGTAATATGTTAACAAGGAATCGAACTGAATTTAATTTGGATTCAAAAACTTATTTTCAGTTTTGGAAGAAGGCATTTGAACAATGCATATTGTAGATGTTTACTCCAGTAGAGGCGTATTATGTGCTGACCAAAGTAGACTGCATTTTCCTTCGAGGTTCCAATTGTCATCAACCTTGGAACGCTCTCCCTCTCTCTCTTTCACCACTTCCTTTCCCTGAAGGGTCCCACTTCCCCAATCCGTGCGAAGAAGCGTGGAGAGGCTTTTCTCTCTGTCTACTTTCGAAACCCCACCAGCTGAAATGTGCATTAGCCTCTTGTTCCTGCAGCGTGGGCGCTGGCCAGTGTGGCTTCAGAACGGGGCTGGCCCCTCCAGATCGGCACAATACAACGGGATCGACGAACCCACCTGTCGAAATGAAAGCCTTCAAACGTGATACTCTGGACCTCGCCGGCATCGGCTTGGGGTTTACTTTGTGCTTCGTCGCACGGTCTCGAGACGGGATGAGCAAACAGTGCGGAACGAGATGGTCCACTTCCCCGCCGCCAATGAGGCCGATGGGATGGATGTGATATGGCCAGGGCTCGTCTTTAGCGCCATCTCCACCGAGAAGAGACCAGACCATGAATTCTGGGCTCTTGTTCGCTCCCACTGTTATTTTTAGGGCGGTAAGACGTGCAATGAGCATCGAGGACGCCATGTTGCTACGAAGTGGAGTCGCCGTAGCCCCGGGGTTGAACCACCAAGAAGAGTCAACGCCATCTACGACATCTCACTGGCGGACGAGACTTGACCTATCCAACAGAGCCAACACCACCAATAGCATCAACAGTGCTTGCTCAATTTTGGGGTCGGAGAATTGGGGCCCTGGTCTCATCCTATCCTGGTTCACGGGACGGGCCTTGCTCTGAACCAGACTCTGGATAACGGTTTTAACTTGGTCACAAGTGGATTCGGTCTTGAAATTTCGAGTTTCGGCTTTGAAAGGGAATTCTCAACATACAGTGCCTGGGAGGATAGTTGATAGCCCGAAAGCACTAGCTCATCGCCTGCCAATGTACCATGTACCCCCATGCCTAGTATGTACAGCTGCATCTGCTACTGCACCTGTGCCCCCTTGGATAATTCTCCGAGTTCTGGGGAAACAGTCGCGAGCTGGCCACCGTACTGGGTACTACCAAGCGAAATCTTTCCACACGAAATGAGCCAAAGAAAGAAAGCAACGTGCGCAAAGTCAGGCTTTTTGGGCGGATCGACGGTGCAGTCCGATCGGGTTCGGCGTCTCCGATCGATGCGTTGGCAACGAGACGACGCAGACGCGGTGAGCCTCCCGTTGGCTCTTCTATTCAACTATCAGCGGTATCTGTCTACGCACTTTGGAAGTAGTCAGCTGAGATTGTTGGACTCGCTGAACTCGCCGAGCTCGTTCGTGGGATATCGCCAGGTCGTTCAGACGTGGGCCGATGCGCTATTCCTTCCACCACGGCGCCACTGGCCCTTGAAACAGTACGACGGTTCGTGATAGGAGTAGCGAATTAACTTTGTCTGGTCTTTTTTCGGGGCCTCTGCTTCAAACGTGCACGATCCGGGCCCCTCGCAGGCCCCAGACCCTGGCGTCCGCGCATCGGTCCTCATCACAAATGTAGTCACAAATCTACGCCCAATGACGGTTCAGTTGGCCGGCTTCTCCTGGCCAGTACCGGGTCCGCCGTCGACTTGATCCGAAGATGCCACTCGCTGCTTTCTATATGGCGTACCCAGAGGCTTTCTCGCTAACCCCCACATTGCAAGAGGGGGGAAATCTAGTCAGCACATAAAGTCCGCCTCGCGGTGTAGTTGTCTGATCACGTCTTGAATTTTTCTTTCCTCTTCGGCCACGACTATAATCCACGGCGGTCAAAACTTGATTTCCTTTCTGGGGGTTTTTATTTTAGGCCCCTATGGATCTCCCACCTCTGACGTGGCCGAGGCTGGAAATCCCTGAGTGCCACATTGCTCCAAACTGTGGCGAAGCAGCTGCAGCTCCGCTGGCGCCGATCAGCCCAATGTCGGTGAATTTCCATCTTTTATCTACTTGACGTCTGCAAGTTTCTTGTTACTTTCGTCATTCATAATTTTTACTATTAATTCTAATTACCTTTTTGCTCTATAGTTGGCGTCACGTTCGCTTTGAGATACCCTGGGTCCGCACAACTCTATCTATTAATCAATTCTCGCTGGCAAGTGGTTTAAAGCCCTACCTGTGGAGATTGATGTGGTAGAAGATTGTACGCTCTTTTGCCATCTACCTCTGAATATTTTCTCCATACTTATTCAAACTCTGGCGCTTAGTGAATTTCCCTTGCCACATTGCTTACGCCCGTGATGATTACGATTTCGATGCACATGTCCTCATTAGCAGACATATTGTCTCAAAATTGGAGTCTCCAACTTCTGTCAACGTCGCACCATGTCGTCGTACAATAATGGCGACCGTCGCATGCCGTCGAATAATCAATATGCTCAGCCTGCAGACATATCACATCGAGGTACCACCACCTCTAGAATGACATACGCTCCTCAAATCCCTCGATCTCAAATAGCACGACCTCTCAAATTCACACCTCGAAGTAATAGGGCATCGTCTGTATCTGCGGCAGAAGGAATTGGCCAAGTGCCAGCTTTATCAACGTCAACGCTACAGCCAGCAACCCGTACCAAGCGCCTGTCGATGCTCCCACGCCCTAGTACTGGTGAACCACAATCATCAACGTCCCCTGCATCATCGATATCGCCTCAGTTCTCAACACAATCGATACCCTCGTCTATATCTACACCCGATATCACCAGTCCATCTGCATTTGTACCTACATACCAAGCCTCCCCTCCAAAACGACCTCGCAACGTGCTTCGGAGAAAAGCACCAACAATAGGAAAACATGTTGAGCAGCAGTCCCAAAAGCTGAGCCTACTCATACCCCAAACTTTTCGCTCTGTGGAAATGAAAGACGCCAAACCTCAAACGTTTTCTATCTCGCAATCAATTGAGCCACACAAACCTGCACAAACCTCAGCCAATGAAAGAGATCATTATGTGATGGATACACCAACAACACATGGCCCGGTCGAATTGGCAAGTCTTCGTACAGCAGTCCCCAATGAGCCCCTACTACCCTCAACAACTCCCCTCATTCCCTCTGCGAGTACTCCTTCGACCCGATATTCGGAATCTCCTGGCATGTGGAGTCGCGGCTCGACGCCAACCTCGCTGTCCTCATACTCTCCAGGCATTGTGCATTCGACCAAAGTTGGCCGTTTGAGACAGCCAAGCACATCACAAACCAGATTGCCTGTATTTTCGCCTCCAGCCACAACAACAAGTCCACAGAGTGCAACAGTTGAGCACGCAGACCTGAAACCGCAGAGAAAGACGACACCCAAGCTGCCTGCATCATTGACTGCCGGCACAAGACCAGCTATCAATACTCCCAAACAGCTGAGTAGACCCGCTGTTGCTATCTTAAGAGGTCCGCCACATAGCCCGCCTCCAAGGAAATCATCAACGAAGTTCAGCCCATCAAAGGATGTTGAAATTGATGTCGAAAAGGCCAAGAAAGAAGTTGAAGAAGCTGAGCTGGAACTTTTCAATTCCCATCATCCGAGAGCTGTCATTTCGAGTCCAGAGCCAAGTGTGCCAAAGACTCCACCGCGACCTAGTAGAGATGGTATACCGCGTCTAGATCGTGAAACTTCGCCCGTGATAAAAAGCAATCTACCATATCTCAGATCGACGGGTCATACACGTCGCGAATCGGCTGAAAGAATACGGATGCAGGGACAGAAAAGCACCACTCCCATTCCAAATCACTCTGCTGCCACTTCAACAGACTCTTTGCGGTCTAAGGATCTATCACGGATTCCATCACGGGAAGCAGGCTCTCCTGTAATGGCCCGAAAATCACCTCGAACACTCACCAAAGAGCCGCCTAGAGAAAAAATCCGAGACAAGATCAGTGGTTGCTTCTCCCAAACGCTTTGGTATTTTCTCTAAGAAGTCAAAACCAGACCTAGATGATTCATCGATCGACCAAGCTCGTACGGCTCGCAAGGGACCGGCTGCAGGGACTGGCCATGAGGGATATGGGAAATATTCTCAGCGGGGCCGCAAAGCGAGTGCCAGCGGCAGCACTGGCACGAGAACGAGATCAACGAGCACAACAAGGAGCGTTTCTCGTTCAGTAGCCAGCAGTAAAGGAAGTATGTCTAGTCGACCCGACCTTGAGCTGGATGACTTCTTCTCGAGCCGACTTGAACCGGTCGTCATTACCGGCGGAGGTATGGATGGGGGAACTCTTTCAAGGACTCAAAGTGAGCAGAGCATCAGCAGCATGAGCGTGACCTCTTCAAACCTTCCTCATCCGACACCACTTACATCTTCAACTGTGCAATCTATTGAGTCATTGGCTACTTCTACGGGTACTTTCGGGGAAACAAATACGCCCAACGAATCTGTTGCGAGTCTTGGACAGACTAGAAGCAAGAGCCCGGTAAAGAAACTAGCCCTTGTCAATCCCCAGGTTCAGAGGTCACGGATGCCGGTTCCCAAAGACAAAATGAGTATGCTGGCATCCAGTCCCGGTACCACGTCTCTCTCGAGCCATGACACAGCTTTAGCAACAAAACAAGCCCCGAATGTCTCCACCAAGCAGGAGCCTACAAAGCCGGAAGAACAGCTGGTAAAGAAATCAAAATCCTCACGTTGGAACCCATTCCACAGAAGCCGTGGCAACGATGTCAAAGGCTCTTCCCAAACTGTCCCTGTACCTGCGCGAGCTGCCCACGCGGCCCAGCTTCATGCTGCTATCTCTCCTGTTCTAAATACCCGACCCGTTGCCCACTACGCAATTGTTGACGAAGATTCCGACGAGCTTGAACGAATTATCAGCAACATTGAGCATTCACCACCTACGGAAGAAGAAGTCCCCGTCGCGCCAGTGGAAGTTCCTGCTGGTCTGAATATCAAGAAAAGACAGCCATCAATTCTACTCCGCTCTCCGCCCAAGATGCATGGTGAATTCGATAGTGACAAACCTTCTCCGAAGACTGCCATGTTCAATCGCAATATCATGGGTCCTGAACCTGAGGGTAGTCCCGAAGACCGCCGGCCAAGAAGACTTGCCTCAGTGGGCCGCATTCCAAAGGTTGTCTCAAGGCGTGATAGGCAACTGAGACAGGATATGCAGTCATTTTCTCGACCTTTCAGTGTTGCGGAGTCGCTCTCTATCCCGGCCCCGGTAGTGGAAAGTCAAAATGAATATCATCGACTTGATCAATCTTCTCCCAACGTGTCGTCAAGCAAGCCTTTCGACTGGGGATATGGCTACAACCCAGTGTTTAGCGCACCCGAGCAAATAAGCGCCTTGGACTTCCTTGCTGGCCCTTACTCAGCTAGTGAGTTTCTACACTTCTCGCCTCCACACAAAGGCTCTGTTTCATCAAGCAGTTCCGGGGCACTAGCTGCTGTCACTGCTGTTGTTCCCGGTGCAGCCACTGCGCCGACCCAAGATGAGGTGTGGAACGAGTACGATGACCTTATAGATCACTTCTCTCCAGAAGATCCTAAGCCTGATGAGTCTGCCAAACCCGAGGATGAATCTAGATTCCAGAAAGCAACAATGGCAAGCATCGCCCTTCAGGATGGCTTAAAGAACCCTAACTCGCTTCAGCCACCACCTGTGCCAAGAGGCGAGGAGTCGAATAGGGACAGCGGTGATTCGGTTCACCTTCGCCGCTCACGAATTGTCTCTGCTTTGTATTCACCAATGGCCCCTTCAACCCAACCATCCTACAGCGATCTTATTGCTAGCTACGGAGACCGTGAAGAAAGTCTCGGCAGTCCTCGGAATCCCAAATTGGAATTTTCAGACCATGTCCAGCATCAGCAATCATCATTCTTGCACTCCCTGGCGGCGGTTCCTCCAACGAAGCCAAAGCCGGATGGACGCAGAACTGTTTACGAGCCCTCCGAGCGTGACTGGGATGCTGTGACCCGTACCAATATGCGATCTGCCTCCCTAATGACTAGCCGTTGGCTATCATTTGGTCGTGTTCTCTTCAGTCCAGCACACAACCATGTTAAGTCTGGAACTCATGGGAGAATCCTTGTGATTGACGGCCTTGGGAATGATGACTGGTCATTTTACTGCTCCTTGACCTATCCAGATGCAGAAGTATACAGTCTAAGCGGCCGACCAGTTTCCACAGCGATATCTCACCCTGCTGCCTGGCAACCTCCGACAAATCACCACACAGTCTATCATGCCGGGCTACAGAACCCTCTTCCATTTCCGAAGGACTACTTTGCAGTTACAGTTTTACGATTCCCCGCAGCAACATCCGAGGCGGTGCAAAGCAATATGCTTCAAGAGTGCAGGCGAGTTCTTCGTTCCGGTGGCTACCTCGAAATGAGTGTGCTAGACCGAGACATGGTGAATATGGGTGTTCGCACCCGCAAAGCCGTTCGACGATTGAAAGAAATGACATGTCTTGCCAACTCAACAATCAGCCTCAGCCCGGCAAGCGATAGCGTCCAGCGACTAATTGGCACTCAAGGATTTGACAACCTTCGCCGATGCATGGTTCGTATTCCAGTCGCGGGAATGGTTGTTCGATCTTCCGACTCAACGACATCTTCCTCGGGTCGGTCTTTTTCTGCATCAGCCGGTACCCAATCAACCGGATTCTCCTTTCCTAATACTTCTACTTCTGTTTCCACGGCGACAGGAAGCCAGAGCACACGGACAGCATCCAAATCTTCCCCCTCAGATGATAATATCTCTCTGGGAGACCTACTCTCAGACCCTTCTCCTTCTGCTGCGAATGATGAGTCCATTGCCAAGATTGTGGCTCGTGTTGGTCGTTGGTGGTATACCAAATGCTACGAAGACCCGGTTCTCCCCAATACGGGCGACAACGACCCCAGCATGTGGAATGATCGCAAGACGCTCCGCGAGTGTCAAAAGCGAGGCACTGGATTCCGCATGCTCATTGCATATGCACAGAAGCCGAGTGAGGTTAAGCGTCGCACAGCAAGCGTTTAACAGTGCTCCACGCCGACCTACATGATTACATTACGAAGCATGATTTCTATATGATTTGCATGATATATCCAATACCCTTGCGACAGCATTATATTTCCTTCTTTTTTTTTCTTTTCTTTTCTTGCCTTCTTCCATTCACTTTTTATCCCTGTGCAAGACTTTCGGTCCTTTACTCTGCCCTCATTTCCTGTTGGTGTTTGATACATTATGGAGAGGCAAGCTTTACGACTTCAGATTTGCATTGACCTCGCGGTCTCTTGCGCGGAATTTATATCCCGGCTGGCACTGGGGCCGTTTGAGTTAATGATTCCTGCGAGATATTTCGTGTATATCGTTGAATAATTTGCATTTGCGGCAGTTTTCAAGGTTCTACCCACTAGGTAATCTTGCTGGCTTTCTGTGATACCCGATTCATAAGCCGGACTTAATGGATGAATTTCTTTAAATATTGCACAGAGCTTCCGCTCGCAAACTGCAGGGATGTCTTGAGCATTCGAGCCTCAAGAATATTCAAGTCGTAGCTTGTAATCCCTTGTTTTAACGACCGAAGAGGACACCAATCGGTGACCTCGGACATCAAAAGCCTCGGCTACCACGCGGATAGGTGTGTGAGAAGTGCGAAAGCCGGTCTCGAACCCGGTCCTCTTCGCTTGACCCAGTAGCATTTTCTGTCCCCTTTCATCTTCCCCGAAGAACTTCCACATCTTACTTTCTGTGTCTCCGTTCCAACTAACATATAAAGCTGTACCATTCGACTCCTTGAATGCGACCAAGGCCGGTTCCTCATATGGCAAAGCATGCCAGTCAAACTTGAACGCACGGTAATTTTCTGATCCGGGACCAAGCTTCCCAGAGTCCATTCCGGAAAAGAATATTGTTGTGCCATCAGGCTTATGTTCTGACATGGCCCCGTCATACCCCCAATTAATGAACGCATTTCCATTCGGAAGCAGCTGCAAATTCCCCTGCGATCGAACAGAGAGATCCCCCCGGTGCTCGGAACTCAGAAATGAGCTTCGAGGTCCAGTTTTCAGTATCCAGCTCGACAACCTTTCCGGCACTATACGCGCGGGTTTGTAGATCCGGTCCACCGGCGAGATTTTCATGGGCAGAGTTATCAAAGAAAGAAATAATTTCCTTGGATCCTTTCGTCTCATGCTCGAGATATTTCTGATGCATCCTGGTATCATGCTGCCAGCAAAAGTCCACTCCCTCTCCCAGAGAGAAATTCGAATTCGGCCCTCCAAGTTGCCAGATGATCTTTCCCGTGTCACCGTCCATCTTGAAGATCGTGCACATACTTCGGGCAGAGAGAAGATATTTGTTGTTTGCCACGTCTATGTCAAATGCATTCATGTAAAAGTAATGCCAGGCCTGGCTCGAGTTCACGCCGGTACCGGCATTTCCGCTTTCCAGGGTCAGGTTGGTTCCTGCTGGGTCGATATGTTCGAGAGAGCTCCATTCCCAGAGGACACGATTTGTATCAGTATCCACCTTCTGTATTTTATTATCAAGAATCCATTGCTGGGAATCCGATTTCGCTCCATAAGGAGAGAGATCGGCGATCTCGGGATCATAAACAGTGAAGACAGCGGAATGGTTATTGAAAATGAGAAACTCATGCTGATCGGCGAGTTTGTGTCCACCACCCTTAATTTGCTTCAAAAGCCGATACTTATTATCGAAGATGCTGGTGTGGCCATGTCCATGGCCCATCGGTGAATTGTGAGAGCCTTCAAATATCGTCAGGACCTGTTGTCCTCTATAGTTCTGGACAAGGAAGTTTTCGCTTCGAGGTCCGACATAGCCAAAGCCGGTCCATACTAAATCACCCTTGTCGGTGAAAATATACGGCCCAGACTGTGCGGGCCCGTGGCCGGTATTATCCGCGTAGATGCTCTCAGGTGTGTAGAATATTAGCCCATCGGCCGTTTCGTTTGTTGCTGGGATGGTAATATTTAACACCGGTGCGGCGAGGTCGGGTCTTGATTTGTAGACAAGATTTGCACCTGCATAGCCAGTGAATAGCAAGGCCGCTAGGTACGAACAAGGTCCCATTTTTGGAACTTGAACTTGAACTTAAATTTGAATTTGATGAATCGGAGTTAGAGGTGTTGATGAAAACACTTGGAAGAAGAATCTAGGCAAGGACGGGCGTTCTGGATATTGATATGCCATCATTTTATATTTCTCCTGTCGACGATCATCTTGCAGTCTTGAATTGGAACTCGGCGAGATCCGTCTCGTTAGCGAAGAAAATGATGATCGCTGGAGTAGTTGGAGATCATGCCCTTTGTTTGGTAGTCATAGCCGAAACGGGGTTGGGAAAGATCGGAATTGCGGGGAAACGTCATCGGGAGAAGTTCAAGTTGAGTAAGATAGGTTTGATCAGAAAAGATTGATTGCCTAGGTGTTCCAAGGTTTAGGAAGGCGCAAACAAGGATGGAACTATTTGGTCTGGTGCTTGGCTATCGAGTAGGGGGAATAGGAGGTTTCTTGGAAAGTTCCAGGTTCAAGTGCTACTACACCTTTGATAGTAGGAGCGTTTGGGAGTTTACTGCATATATTCAAGTTCAAGTTACTAGTATATATGATCAGATCACGATAGCCTCATCATCATCCACGGATGCAAATCGCATGGCAGCTGAGCGAATGTCGCCAACCATGGTCCATGGTTCCAGGCAAGATGCCCTGGAGTGGAATTAAGGTGCTTCTATTAATATTCCATTAATATTCTATTCATGATACCCGGTACGAGTAATCGCATCTCCACTGTTCGTGATTTATTAATTTCAGCCTTGTTGCACAGCCTAGAATACTGGTGACTGGAGGAGTAGTACTGGTTACTAATGACCAACTACTACCACTACCACTACCACTACCACTACCACTACCACTCATCCAGTCTAGACTTTGCGCCACCAATCCTCTGGGAACAGGCAGCATTCCCCCTCCTGTGGCTTAGGGCGAATGAGTGAACATTGGCACACGTCAATCTGATGGATGAACAGGCGCTAACACGAGCCCAGCAGGGCTGCGCACCCCCACCTTTCGATACTGCGCCACACTGCGAACCAGAGAACGAGAGAACTGAGAACTCGAGGGACACAGGAACCATTCCAGGTTATAAGTCTGACCTGACCCGGATCTTCTTCTAGATCTGTCAAGCTTTCTCTACCTCTACCTCTACCTCTACCTCTACCCTCTTCCCTCTTCCCTCTTCCCTATATCCCCTACCTCCCGTCATGTCTTATCAACAATACCCCCCTCCAAACCGTGAGTGAATCCTGCATCATCTCAAGAACTACTAGTAGTTATCCTAACCTGCAGCAGAGCCTCCATACGGCGCATACCCTCCTCAGCAGGGTCATCCTCCCCAGGGCTATCCCCAGCAACCTCCCTACCCTCAACAACCCTACGGTGCTCCTCCCGGTGCTCCTCCTCCACACCAACAAGGCCACTATCCTCCTCAGCAAGGCTACGGTCAGCCTCCCCCCCACAGCCTCCGCATGGACAGGGTCACTACGGTGCTCCCTCCCCTCAACCCCCAGCAGGCTATCACGCTCCATCACCGCAGCCACCGTACGGACAAGCTCCCCCCACCTGGTCAACAACCCTACGGCCAGCCACAACACGGCTATGCCCCTCCCCCCGGGCCCCCCAGAGGTCCCGGCTATGGCGCCCCTCCTCCAGGCGCATTCGGTGCTCCCCATGGTGCTCCCCAGGGTGCTCCCCATGGTGCACCTCATGGCGCACCCTACGGTGCCCCAATGGGACCCCCAGCCATGCCATCACTAGGCTATACGCCCGGTCAAACAGCACCAGGAGACTTCCGCCAACAATGTGACATCCTCCGCAAAGCAATGAAAGGCTTCGGTACCGACGAGAAAGCCCTGATCTCCGTCCTGGCCCCGCTAGACCCGCTCCAAATGGCCGCCGTGCGCGCCACATACACCACCCACATCGGCCGCGACCTGTACAAGGACGTCAAGTCCGAGACGGGCGGATATCTCGAGCAAGGCCTCCTAGCTGTGATCGAAGGACCGCTCGCGCACGACGTAGTCTGCGCCCACGAAGCAATCGACGGAATGGGCACCAAGGAATGGATGCTAAACGATATCGTCCTGGGTCGATCGAACGCCGATCTCAACGCCATCAAGACAGGCTACGAGCGCAAGTACCGTCGCAAACTGAGCGACGACGTCGCCGGCGATCTCTCCTTCAAAACGGCCGACCTTTTCAAGGCTGTTATCCGCGCCGATCGTCGCGAGGAGTCCGTCCCCATCAACCCGCAAGCTGTCGAGGATGAAGTGCGCACGCTGCACGGATCTACCGCCGGCCGGATGGTTAATAACATCGCCGAAGTTTCGGGGATTCTGGCCCGCTCGTCGGACGCGGAGCTCAGGGCTATTGATCAGGGATTCCATCGCCGGTATAATGTTTCGCTGGAGAAACATCTCGAGAAGGAGTTTTCGGGTCATATGGAGGATGCTTTCTTGCATATGCTTCGTACGGCGACGGATCCTGCTATGCGGGATGCTATTCTGCTTGAGGAGTGCATGGCGGGCATGGGGACTAAGGATGAAAAACTTGTTGTTCGTCTGGTTCGGGTTCATTGGAACAGGAATCATAAGGAACGTGTCAAGGCTGCCTATCGCCATCGCTTTGGTAAAAACCTGATTGACCGTGTACGTGGGGAGACATCCGGTGATTACGGGCGCTTGATGGTTGCTCTTTTGGAGTAAGAGTCCAAAGGCGTGCAGGGTTATCATGACATTTCCATTTCCATTTTTTTTTGGATTTTCTCAAAGTTTTCATCGTCTTCCTCATTCAGCTTTCATTGTTGTTGCCATTTGGTCTTCACTTTGCGTGTACTTTATCAGATACCAGTTTTCTATTTCCCCTTTGGCATGAGTTTATGGATCTACGCCCCTCATGAAATGAAATGTCGAGTGGATGACAAGTCCACATTGTCATGTCTGGATACCATATTCCAAGAAAGAGCGTAGAAAAAGTTCCTTGGTTCAATCAATTACGTTCCAATCGATGTACATGCAATCATGCGTATCATAATCATCATCGTCATAATAATAATAACATCATGCAATGGCATAAAAAGTGCAAGAAAACACCCCTCCAAGTCGATGCCAATGCTCATTTAATCTCCCCGACCACAGTAACCATTGAGCCAGGAAACAGTCCCGTTCGGCCAGCATAACATCCCCAAAACCAGTCATCATTGATGTTCTCTACCTCCTTTATATGAGCACCACGCGGGAACACCAATTCATCATCAATCCCTTCTTCGGGATAACAAGACCACATAGCATAAACGACGAGACCGACCCCTCCATCCGGAGGGAAACGACGGAGAGGAGGAGCGTACTGCGATGTAGGCGTACCGTTGGTTTGACCCGCGGTATCTGAATGAGAATATGTATAGCTGCCGTTTTGGGAGACGGGGCTTCGCACACGTGAAGCTTTCTTGCGACGTTCTTGGCCTTGAGATTCCTTCCAGCTCCAATGGCCACTGCCAAGTTCCGGGGATGCATTAGGTCCGCTGGTAATAGGAGATGACGCAGGCCAGCGATTCATATGTTCCTCCTTTAAAGCGTGTCCTCCAACCAGGTCTTGGACAATCTTTCGTCTTTGTCCATCTTGCCCATCCTCGAATCCTACGATGATCATCCGATGACCCTTTAGGCAAAGACGCCACCCATTGTATCCATTGTCTTTGGTAATCTTCGAGGTCATGACGAGTTTGCGATAACAGTTTGTGCAGACATCATAGTCTCCATCATTGCACTGTGAGCAATGAAAACGCGTCACCGAGGCCGGAATCGGGTAGGTGCAGATGTCGCAGTTGGTGGAGAATGACAGGATTTTGAAGCTCTCTGCAAGTGAGGTTGGTGATGTCGAGGTCGCCACTTCGGTCGAACTCGTCGTGGTAGATGAGTCTGGGCTTCCGGAAACCCGCCGAATGGGTAACAGGGGATCTGTGCAGCACCGGCCTTGATTCACACAATGATTGCAAAAGCCCCAGTCTCCTTCGTTGCATTGACTACACTTCCAGAAACATTCGTTTGCCGAGGAGGAACATATGTCGCAGAATAGCCCAGCTTGCAAACGTCGCGCAGGGTTATCGTTCGTCAAAATTCTGTCTCCGTTTGTCACCACTTGGAACGATTCTCGAGGCTTTTCGTATTTTTGGGAAACGAGAAGGTGGCCCGCATCAGAGGCCGGGGCTGGTCGGTTGTTTGATGATGCAAGCATCCGTTCAAAGGCCGCCTGCGCACTTTTTTGGAAGCCGTTCCATTGAAGACAGCCCCGGCTGGAACGATAACATCGAAGACAGAGGTGGTAGCTGCCGTTTTTGCACGTCGGGCATCTTTTATGTAGCTCATACTGAATATCCGGCCTACTACATGCGTCACACGAGATCGACGGCTCGGGATACTGTGTTCGAGATGTTCTAGGTCGTCTTTCACTCCGGGGTGGTACAAGTGGCGAGGATAGCATTGGGGCCGAGCGCTCAGTCGGAGTGGAGCTGTGTGATAAATTGGAGGGTGAATGGACCGAGGAAGGGGAATCGGATGCAGATTGACTGGTGACATTTCTGGACGAGGCCCTTTCTCGCCCTCCGCCCATCCATGTCTCCGAAATGTTGTTGTCAGAATCTGTTGCCCGTCGGGTTCTGCTAGACGACTCTGCTATTGAATGGCCCAAAGCCCCGCGCGTACGCTCGGAGGTCATATCGCTGGAAGACCGAACTGCAGGCCGTAGAGTGTCGTCGGAGGTCGATGCCTGGTTGACGCGAATGGGTGAAGTAGCCCGTTGTGTTCTACCTTGTTCAGAATTTCGTCGCCGATGTCCTCCAGTAGGGCGGGATGTGTTTGAGTCGAGTAGATGAGGTCTTGATATAGGTGGTCGCCGGTCATTATTGTCTCGAGTTGTCGTAGCCACTTCGTTGGATTCCCTTGCAGACAGAGATCGCGGGCGAGTATGGCCACTCTCATCGGGCGACTGTCTTCTTCTTTGCTCCGGGCGGGGACGCGGTTGTTGCATATGCCTCCGGCGATATGCATCCGCAATGCGTTCGCTAAGTTCCTCCTCCTGTGAAGGGCCGAGATTGTCTAGGTTGATGTCATCCAGCAAGCCTTCTTCTATGATCTGCCGCATGATTTCCTCTTCCATGTTCTCGGCTTCCGATGAGAGGCTCAAGAGTGAGCGCAAACTAGATTGGTGCTCGATCCGCCTTGTGCGCTCTGCATCTGAGTTTCGTGACGGGCGTCGCAGCCGCTCTGGGTCTTCCTCACGCCGCCGTCTCGAGCGACCATCCTCTCCATGTCCTGTCCGGCGGGCTTCGCGCCGCGCCTGCGCCCGATTTTCTCGAAGACTTAATTCGCGGACCTCTTCCAATACCCGTCTATCATCCTCATCGCCTTCGCTTTCGTTGTCCTCGCGTGGTGGAGGGAAGACCGAGTCCCCGTGCTTATATCTTTGTGCGATCTCCTCCTTCTCTTCCGCTGATCTTGCTTGGTCGGGCTGAGCCAGAAGCACCATGTCCAATAAAGTGGTGACAGTAGCATTAGGGCGAGTGCCCCGTACCTCGGCTCGACATGATGGGCATGTAAATCGGGGTGAGGGATGGCGGCGTGAGCCTTGCGCAGAGAACCATTCCTTCAAGCAGGAACCGCAGAAGGTATGCAAACAATCGAGGAGGGTGAGGGGCTGGTAGAGAAGTTCGGTGCAGATCTATCAACAAGGGTCTAGATTAGCAGAGGTCGCAGGCAAGGGGTAGAGAGAGTGGGAGGCAAAGAGGAATGGAATGCTTCTGGAATGAGCACATTGCACAATAGCACCTACCGAGCAGCCCAGCTCTTTCTCAAGGTCGGCCAAGCCAGGGCTTCGGACTTGAGACATCAGAAAGAAGCCACCAGGGCCGTATCTGGTGATGAGTGGGTGTGTTGTTGGGGGGAACTTGTAAATAGAGAGAAGAGCCAAGGAACGAAGGTGGTCACAACCAAGGCTCGGAGAGTGGGATGTGCGGGTGGGCAAGTTCGATGGGTTCCACCAAGCTTATCCTCCGCATCAATTTAGTCGAGCCTCCCACATTATTCCACTTTACTCTTTACACTACACTTCACGATTCTTTCCTCTCACTCCTCTCACTATCTTACTCAGCTGCCTGCTTGGGAATTTTTTACTTGCGGCTCATGGCTATGCCGGCAGTGCAATGCGGTTGCATTGTCCCACCAAGCTTCACGATCTCTTTGGTCCTCGGGGCTACAAGTCTACCCCACGATGTGAACCCATGCCGCACGTGAACGATTTGGATCACATTTCCAGATCTCCGACAATATTGACTCTGTGATATTTTTAAAGAACCGATTTCTGTGGCAGATCCGCGGGGTTGGGCACCCAAGTGCCACGAGTTCGGCTCACCTTGATCTTGACCACGAGACTACTCGTATAATTCAGAATCTGCCATCTTACCATATCATTTGCGCAACTCCTATCATCATTCATGCAGTCACGCTGATGATTCTGATCGTTTGCTAGCTGTGAATTCGCAGGGCCGCTTACCTGGGCACAAAACGTGTGCGACTCGACAGGCATATTCCTACTCAACCCGCGACTGTCCTAAATCATTCCACCTGAAAGCAGTGGAGGTTCAGCTCCGAGCATCGTCAATAACAGATACCTATGGTTCAAGCGATCTGCGGCATTGATGTGTTTTTGAACATCGATTGTTGTCTTCGGCAGCTTATACCCACACGTGATGGCATGAGACGGTATTGATTTCTTGAAACTCAGTTTTCCTCTTGAGAGTCAGGAAAAAGTGCTCTATTGAGGAAACATATATGGATTCGATCAAGTAACCTCTGTCTTAAAAACGCAGGGAAAGACTGGTGAAGCATAACTCTTATTATGTTGCGTTGCGGAAGCTTATCACTCATGGAGTCATGGAAACACTAACACCGTTGCCGTGAAAGATCTGATTCATGTTCCAGCAGAGGCAAATTCATATTTTTAGCTTTAGGTGGCATATATTCATCCAAGATCTCTTCTTCTATACTCTATCAATGAGTTAGTCTATATCTGCAATCGATGTACTGCAAGCCAGCCGAAGGATTTTTGCTGTTTTACCTGACGCATTGTGGCAATGCTACCCATCCCTCAAGATTAATTATCAACAAGCCTGATATAATGCATACAACCGGCGTATCTTCAATTGCACTGCCGAGTATGTCATAATATCATCACTACGCCTCATTGAGCTAGGTGTTTGCCATCATGATTTGAAACATCAATATCATCTAGGATATTCCATCATGCCACTAGTTGAAATTGAACACGACCATCTAACGATTTCCCAACATCTACCGCTGATCTGTGGTGGCGGTTATGCAAGACACGTCCCTCGCGCCATAGCCTCCAACCGACCAAGACAAATCTGTACAAGGTGAAGGGATACTTCCCAGTGACAACCAGAGTACCCGGCCTGGACTCGAAGGGGTCCCGGCCTCAGATTGACGCGAGGAGATATATTGGCTGTCTTCTTCCTTTGCCACCACTGGCACAGAAGAAGAGGAGATGAGGGGGCCAAAGGGAAACAAAGTACCCAGCAAAGTTTGTTAGTTAGTTACAAAAGTTTTCTGCCTAGGCGTGTCGATTGTGCAGTTCAGTGCCAGTGGCGCACGTGGCTTGACACGGTGCAAGTGCAAGACGCTGTGAAGAGGGATCTGAGCCACGGCGGTGAGGAAAGATGTAGCGTCAAAGAGTCTGAGACAGCGATAGATGGCGAAGAATTGACTTTGTCTACACGATGGGTTGAGTGTGGGTGTGAGTTTTACGCAGAGCCAACCAACACACCCCCGAGGGCATGCTGAGGGGGGGAGGGGAAGAGAAGAGAAGTGTTTGTTTTTTGCATGGTGAGATTTGTTTTAAACCCTGCTACGATGTTTTGCCTTTTTTCTCCTTCTTTTCGAACTTGAAGTCCCTCTGCCCGGTAGTGGCTATGGCAACTTGAGTATCTATCGTGGCCGGAGCTTTCGGAACTACAGACTGTTCCTTAGGCATCATGTGCGTTTAGTACGAGCTGCCAGCTATGTGACTGAGAGCATCCGGGGGCTCTTGTGAGTATCTGCAGAAGGGCATTCAACGCGGAGATCCCGGCGCACGATGCAAGCATGAAACGGTAGGCAGCCGTGTGGATAGGCAGAATGGGAGGAGGGGAGAGATATTTCCCAACCCAACATCCAGTCTCCCAGCGCATCGGAGAGGAGGGGAACGGGGGAGAATATGCATCTGGCGTACAATCTGGGGTCTGAACGCCCTGGGTCGGTTGTGGCTGACAAGAGTACGGGGAAAGAGGGGAGTACAGCGTTCGTTCGAGCTCGAAAAGAGGGGAAGCGAGAGCCGTACAAGTTGAATGAAGACGTGCTACAGCTCTTGTGAAAAATAGATGTCCCTTTCGACCCCTTAGGGATGTTCCAGATTATTCCGTTACCTCGTGACGCGGAATGCTGCTGCATAAGCGTTTGAGGGGCACGAATGCTGACGCTGTGAAAGCTAGGAAGAGCGCGGGGTCTGGCTTTCTCTCCCTTCCTCTCTTTTCGTGATTGACCTCGGGAACTTCTTGTGAAGGTGAGAATCGTACGTAGTCGCAGCATCAGCGGCTAGCCCTAGCTACTGCAGATACAAGAGGGCAGAAAAGACGCACCCCGCAGTAGAGCCACTCGGCCACATATGCACCCCATGTCTCCAAGGGGATTGGAACCTGGAGGCCCCCCTATCTGCATTAGCTGTTCAGGAAGTCAGTTGGCAACTAGTGCTTGCTATGCGCCGAAATGACTCTCGGCATCAGCTTGAGTGGGGGTTGCCGGTGCCAGATAATTAGTCTGTTGGAGTTGGGACAAGCCCATTAGTCAAACAATAATAATAGAACAAGTCTAGAGCAACTGGATTCACGATACTAGGTCATTTTGCTTTCATAATGATAACCTTGGATCTTGTTCTAACCCAACCCAGGTTCCTGAGGCTTGTCCCTTTCTGCGTGCCTGTGCGGGTAGGAGATTGGGGCCGTGAGCACTGGGATCTCTTCTCGTTAGGTTAGATAGGATATCTCTCACCAATGGCCTGCTCTTTGGCCCTGGCTGTGGCCACAATACTATAACACTGAGTACTATTGTCTGCGCGAAACTCGTCTACGGGATATCGGCAGGTTGTAACCGTCAATCGACAATAGCCCCCAAGCAGCCCAGATAGAAAGCTGACTCTACGCAGCCACCGAGACATAGTTAACTAACTAATGTCATACTAGTACTAGTCATAGCAAACTCGTCTATCGGAGACTTCTCGGAGCCAGGGCCAGGAGTAAGGCAACTAGGGGAGCTCAGCTTGTCATTAGTGCGCCGTGGCTCAGTTGCACATAATGGCGTGGTTTGAGTTTGATTCGCTCTCGTGTGTTATCAGGAGTAGAGTGCACCGACTTGCGCTCAGTCTCGTTTCCTGAGTGGATTCCAGTCCGGCAGTAGCGCGGCGACGGCGGGCGCCTCTCCCGCCACGGTGAAAATTTGAGGCTTGGGGTTGGGAAAAGGCGTATCAAATGGTTGGGATTCTGGTAGCATCGCGCAATGTTGTCTCATGACGGGCTGCAGGGCCGGTGCATAGTCCCACGAGCGATATTCGGGGGATTTGATTTTGCACGGACAACTTGCAGTGTACTTGGGCCCGTTTGTCTTTTGCTAGGATGGCCTGATCGTCGACCGCTTCTCGCGGTATGCTTGGTTGCTTATTGGAGAACCGAGCTTTTAAAGATTTCATGATCTAGCGCGACCTTTCTCTTACGATCGACTAGGGTGTACTAGAGTAGACTAGACGGCGGGAGCTACCTTGGTTCCGCTCTCAGGCCCGCTGTATACGAAGGGGCCGGGTGGAACTATAGAGCTGTGACTTGTGGGAGGCAGTTTCCGCCGAGAAGAAGAAACGCCATAGCTTGAAACCGCGAAATTGGCCTTGTGTATTACAATGGTATCTTTTTCTCTCTATTTTGCCTCTATCTTATTTTTAGCGTCGTTTCGGCAAATAAAGGTGCACAACACAAGTCCGGATGGAAACTAGGCTCCGTTTCTCGGAGTATTCTTCCAAGTTGCAGAGGAAGGCGATCCTCCGCATTCACCAAAAAAAAAGAGACTAAAACCCCATACTTACCATAGCCCCTGAGATAACGGTGCTCCGAGAGGTACTCCGTTTAAAGGAGTGGGAAAAAAAACAGATGACGCCATGCACTGACCTCCAACGTGCATCGAAATTGTCAGTTCGCCGCACTAATGCACCATCTTATGTACGGAGTGCAGTCCACCAAGCTACATGCAGCCACCAGACCCACTCGTAACCACCAACCATCGAGTTGTATCAACGGGATCCAACGCACTGACTGCCGCACGGAGAAATCTAGGCTACGGTCGACTGGGTTACTGGCGTGTGTCTTGGCGGGGCTAGGTGGGCTGCGCCAGTCTCATGCCATGCATAAGCGTTGTCCAAATTTGTATACGTTGCTATTTATCGCATACGTGGGCTTTTGAGCTAAGGCTTGGATGTACATGCCGTATCTTCTTGTATACCTTGAATCGCACGGACCAGCTACAAGCTGCAGCCCATGATCGCCTGAGCGCGTCGCTTTTTGTATGTACATACTGCGGAGACGATCACCCTATTCAAGCTGTGACCAGGGGGCCGTTATGGCACGTCCCCTGCGACCACCAAGTACCTAAGTACTTTGCCCGACAACGTGTCCCTCTCCTGCAGGAAATAACAATGGTCATGTGCTGCCCCGCAACACATCGGAGGGCGCCTATGAGTAGGTTTTGCTGGCGTGCTTCGATATACGAAGTACTACTGGATTATCAGATAGACACTTCTGTGTAAGCTGAGACTAGCTAAGTAGCCAATGAGGTGGGGAACATGCACATTTCTTCGAGCTCCCTGAAAACAAACCTATGTACCCTGTAGCTAGGTATTCTGTAATCTGTATTAACTAGCCCAAGGGTGGGGCAATTGATATTCCCTAAAGTAGATGTATACATTGATGGTTAGGCAGTATCAGGCAGTGCTTCCGAAATATCAATTGAGCCGGGATAACACCGAAATTTTTCAAAAAAATAGCTAGGCTAGGCAGATAAGGCTGAAGCGATACCTCATACCACGAGTACCTTCTATTCGAGGGCTGTGCTTCCTATCACAAGAGGGCAGTATTCCCCGCAAATATGACCAAGGGGGCTTCAGCGCCGCACTGCAGTCAGCATCTCCAGAGTAGATCCTCCGCGGAATCGCACGTCAAAACACCCCCCCAGCACGAATGGTGTGCGTTCCCAAAAGATTGACGTTTGGGGAATGTGGGATGATCCACCGCGGGGTATGTGTCTATTCGTTCTCCGTATACATGCCTAGCCAGACGACGCGCGATCGACTTTCCCGTCCTAAGCCATTGAGTGATTCCCATTCATCAATTCGTGTCTTGGTGGCAATCGTGTGGCGGCGGGCTAGACATCGAGGTCTGTACTCGGCGGCGTCTCAGGCAATATAGGGGCGATAGATGAATTGATGGCTCGTTT